GTATATAAATCTGAGTTAGGCTCCTGGCCTGGACCGTGAGTTGTTTACCCACATGGCATCTGGGGATGTTCAGATGTTCAGAAGTCCTGCAGGATGCAGGACAACCAATCCTTCATTGTTTGGCACTATGTGTCCCCCTGCATTGCTGGGTGTCCTTCCCACTAACTGCCAGGAGCATCCCCCAATCACTGTGACAACCAGAAAGGCCGCCGCATAGTTCCAGAACACCCCAGCAGGGGCAATGCCACTTCCCTCACACGCCTAGAATGGAAGGATTCGTGGAGGGTCCCGAGATCCCTGAGGCACGGCCCAGAAGGCAGACGCTCACGTGCAGCACCTGAGTCCTTGGTGTCTAGCAGGGTCCCCTCACAGGCGTGCCGGAGGGTAAGGGGACACAGGCCAGGCTGGGTAGGGGCTGTGATAATCTGTAGAGCAAATGCCCCTTGTGGAGACCGTGGGGCCAGTCCCCAGCCCCCAGATGATTGTCACATGTGGGAACCCAAGCCCAGTGTTGTCAGGTCCCTGATGTTTCCAGAGAATCCAGAAATCCAAATTTGTAGATGAAATCTCCAGATTTTGCAATGTGGGCTGGGATTAAAACCACAACAAATGGAAACACTCAACAGAACAAACCAGACACCCCTGTGCTTGGTGGAACCCTTGGTCCCTGGCATGACCTCTGGTTTAAATTAAGGAACATGCGGTCGGCTCAAAGGCTGTCCACCGCCCAAATGAACATGCCTCCCCTCCTTGGGTCACCCTGTGCTCAGCTGGGGACCCTAACTCTCCTCCCACTTCCCCTGATCACCCGCCATCCCCCTTCCTCTGTCCCCTCCGGGACACCCTTCCTTGCTTGACTCTGCCTCTTTCTCCAGCCATCCCTCCTCCTCCCGGCTTCTCTTTCCTATCCTGACCGCGCTGGCTGGTTACCAGGGACAGATTCTGGATGGGAGCAGGATTTGAACAGCTGGGGTCTGCCAGCGTGGGCCCCAGAGCCCCGGTTCTCAGCAGGGGCGGGGTGGGGAGTGAGGTTGCCCCACCCCCATTCCAGGGGACATTTGATGGTGGTCTGGAGACATTTTTGGTTGTAACAGGGGGACGTTACTGGCATCTAGTAGGTCACAGATGGTGCTAAACATCCTACAGTGCACAGGACAGTCCCCCACAGTAAAGAGTTTATCCAGCCCAAAATGTGTCAACGGTGCCATTGTTGAGAAACCCTGCCTTAGAGGTATCCCGAAGGCTTTGCTATTGAAGCACGACTAGGTCGTTTATACTCTGTCTGTCTGTCTGTCTGTCTGTCTCTCTCTCTCTCTCTCTGTGTCTTTGGGTGTGGATAATGGAATGTTGCAATTAGAGGAGAACTGTGTTCAAATGGTATTGAAGAAGAAGCCAACCTCAGGGACACTTTCGTAACACAGTTACGAGCACTGCCCATAGAAAGCTCTTCTGCAGGTGGGGCATTTTGTTCCAAACTAGACATGGTTGTTGCCATTTCTGGAAGGCTCTGCTCCCCTTTCCCTCCGTCCTTGGGTCTGACTTTCCAGCCTGACGTTGTCTCTGGAATGTCAGTTCTGACCCTGCCTCTCACACAGAGTGGCCTTGAGTAAGCCTGGCTCAGCCTCAGTTTCCCCATCTGAAGCGGTACTCACTTTTCCCGCAGAGGGTGGGATTTTGGGTTCGCGTGGGGTATGCACATCTGTCCCAACTGCTCAGCTCTCCCGGGGTAGCACGAAAGCACCACATTGCATACACACGTGATCAAGCATGGCCATGTTCCAGAAGAACTTTAGGGACAAAGACAGGTGGTGGCATGTTCTTGCTGACCCCTGACCTGCTTTTTGAGATTGCTTTGAGGAATGAATAAGCCTTTCCAAGCAAAGGGCTTGGCACCATGCCTGCCGTGTAAACAGCAAGTGGTAAACAATGGCTCGTGTTTGTTTCTTCCTCTCGCCCTGTTTTTCTCCTGCGCTTCCTCCCTTTCCCCTTCTCCGCCTCCGCCATCATTTCTTCCTCTGTGTGTCTCTGCACCGCACAGCTGTCTCTTATGCTGACATGGAAAGAGCTGGAAAATGACAGTTCAGAGCTTCCCCTGCCACCCGCCCTTGGTCATCTGGGTGCTCTGGACTCTGGCACTGTCACCATCACCTCCCCAGTGGGGTTGGGAGGAGTGAGTGGGAGGGCGTGGCCGGCTGCGAGCCTGCTCCCCCGGGCAGCTCTGTTTCCGCCCCCAGGACCGGGCATTGCAGGGTTGAGGTCCAGGCTGCGTGGCCTTGGCAGTGTCAGACATAAACAAAGCCAGACACGAGGGAGCGACAGTGCTAAGGACAGATTTAATCAGTAATGCTGATTGCAGTAGGGAAAAGAGCCCAGCGTGAACCCAGCCGAACTGAACTTGGATTTGTTCAGAGGTGACAGGCGTTTTAAAGGGAGAAGGAGGGAGGGGAGAGGAGGTGAGTGGGGTCTCAGGAGAGTCAGGAAGGGGAGGGTTGGTCCATGTGAAACCCACCGGGTTTGCCACGTGGCTTTCATGGAAGTTAGGCTCTTACCCGCCCACGGAGACTGGGAGGAGGGCCCTGCCTACGGGGTCGGCTGGAACAAACACGCGATTCTCAGACAGGCCCTTTAAGCGGGGGATAGGGTTAACCTAGGCGTGTGGCCTAGAGCTGTTAGAAACTATGTTGTTTTTCATTCAAGTCTTTATAGGCCGAGGCTGAGGCCCAGTCAAGCAAGGGCTCGGAGGAGCCAGGCTAGAGTTCGCTCAAGGAGAGAATCTTTGGCAGCAGGTCGTCCCCTCCCTGACGATGACTCGGAACTCGAGGGTCCTGGTGCCTGCTGCTTCTCTCTATATACAGTATCGCTCAGCTGAGACTTCTGTCTGCTCTGTGTGTATTTATTGTGTATGCAAGTAAAATAGCAATCCAAAGGCTTGGCATATAGCAAAACACCCGACATAAAAGAATCATAAACTTTATTTTATTAAGGAGTAGATCTTTAGGATTACACCTGTGTGTTGTATCAGCAGTTCTCAAACTTGGTGTCAGGACTCCCTTATACTCTCCAACATTATTGGGGACCTCAGGAGAGCTTTGGTTTAGGTAGAGTATGTCTGTCATTTATGTACTATATTGGCATTTAAACTAAGGCACTCTTACGATTTATTAATTCACCTAAAACAGTGATGATAACTCATTACGTAGCTATATAAATAGAAATTTTTATGAAGAATATGTATTTTTTCTACGACGAAAACAAATTTAGTAAGAAGGGAGGCACTGTTGTGCATTTTTGCAGAGCTCTGTAATGTCTAGCTTCACAGAAGACATTTGCTTCTGCTTTCAAACCGTTGTCATAGCGCACGTCACGGAGCCCCTGGAAAACTCCGCTGTGTGCTTGTAAGAGAGTGAGCGAGAAAGGAAAATAACATCTTCATATTATGGCGAAAATAGTTCGTCCTTAAAGATCCCCTGAAAAGAACTCAGAGACCCCCCCAGGACCCCCCAGACCACACTGTGAGATCCACATTAGGTCACTGTTGCAAGCATTCATTCTATTCTCATAAATTATAGCTAATATTTATTAATACTAAGTGCTAGGCATTAAGCTAAGTGCTTTATGTGTATAACTCTTTTTAAACCCTCATTAGGTTGGTGCTAGTTATTGTTCCCATTTTACAGAGAAGGAAACTGAGGCAGACAAACTCAGGAACCGTGGGCAGGGCCACACAGTGAGCAAAGTGGCAGAGTCCAGATTTGAACCCACTACACCTCACCTGCCTTTCCAAAAAGACTTAGGCCTGCTTATCCAGTGACAATGTGCCAGCTAAAAACGCCACTATGCTATACCGCTCACTGAGTACTTAATATATATCAAGCCTTTTGCTCAATGTTTTCTCATCAAATAGATTTAACTATGTGTGCCCTATTGGCTAATCCCTAACTCACCTTTGCAAAGTTCAGTTAGGGATTAACCAATAGGGCACACATATTTAATTGGAGATCCCTTTCTTTGTAGATGAGAAATTGAAGCTCCAAGAGGTTAAACCTCTTGCCCCCTGTCTCAGGGCTAAGGGGCAGAGACTGAATTCCAACTCAGCTACCTCAGTCTACCTCCCTGCCCTCTTCACTCTGTGCTGTGCGTCCCATTAACATGATGCTACGTTGCAAAGAGCTTATTATTTAGGGCTCTGTTAAAGCCAGGCCTGGCCGTGTCCAGCATGGCCCACGGGTTTCTAAGTGCCGGCCAGCCCAGCCACCCTTCATGCATGCGAATGAGCCGGGCGAGGGGCCTCTGTTAGGTCTATTTGCATTGGCAGCCTGGGTAATTGCATGTCCTAATTGGTGCAGCCATGCACGCCGTGCCTCCACCATTCGTCCACCCTGGCACGGAGGTCCTTTTGGAAGCAGGTGCGGGCTTCTCCCCCAGTGTCCCTCTCAATGGCCTTGGTAGCCTTGGTGATTGGAACAAAGCCTCAGACACCGAGTTCAACAGCAAACAGCTACCCAGCCGGCTGTGCATCCACAAGGCACAAAAGGAAGCCGTAAACTGATCGCGATGCACGGTGGGACCGGTGCCCTCACGTCTGAGCAGCGCACCTGGCCGGATTTCCCTTTGGCCCCGTCCCTATTCCTAGTAGCTCCAGAGAGGCAATGAGGTGCTAGTGGCCGTGGTCTCTGGGCCTAGACATCCTGGGTTCAAATCCTGGCTCCTCCACTTCCTAAATATGTGGATTTAGTCACTGAAGCTCCCTGAACCTTAGTGTTCCCATCTGAAAAATGGGAAGATAATATGGCATCTCCTTCATTGGGTCGTCACGAAGATGAAATGAGTAAGTGCAAAGGGTTTGGAACAGAGCCTGGGACGCAGTAAGCACTGAAAGGCATATTTTCTAACAGATGCATGTTTCTGAAGCACTTGGCCCGTGACAAGCATTGTGTTCTATGCTTGACCAATTCTCTCAGTTCCTGGGAGGTAGGTAGGTGCCATCCTTGGCCCCCTGGGGTTGGATGAGGAAATTAAAGCACAGAGAGATGAAATGGTCTGTCTCAGCTTAAAGAGCAGAGGAATGGAGGAGGGACGCATCAAACTCACTTCTGCCTGAGTCCAGACCTCTGAATCTCAGGACCCTGCTACAGACAGTGATCCAAGGACGAGGCTGGGAGGAGACATGACACCCTATACAGCTTCCATCTTGTCCTCAGTCTCTGGTCCCTTGAAGCCCATCAAATTGTTTCTCAGTGAGCTGAAATGGCACAACTTTCTTAGTTGTTCGTATTGATTAATGACTAATTTAGAGAATGTTTAGTGGCACACATTTGGGACCCATCGTTTTACAGATGAGAAAATTGTACATTCACTAAGGCAAGCCAGGTACCCAGATCTTCCTCCTCCCCACCTGGTGCTCTGTATACACAAACAGTAAGAGCAAAGGTGTATCTCTAAGTGGATACTTTAAAAATCACAACATCCCACCCCAACCCCTCAGAAACAGGAGCAGGGGACCGGGATTCAATAGACCGAATAAAGACCCATCCTGAAGTCTGAACACTAGCGAACCAGGGAAAGACGGAAACAGACCCACATGTCTCTGCAAGAGCAGCCTGGGTCACGCAACCTACCTCTTGGAGCATATTGTGTTTAGCATATTTCTACCTGATTGAAATTCGCTCTAAACATGCCCAAGGTTGAATGGGAACGGAGGGTATTATTGCATTTAATTATTGCTCTGGAATAAAAAATGGATTCTAGCAGCAGCTTGGAAATAAGGCAACAGCAGAGCAATTAGAGTTTTGGAGCTGACACGAAAACATTTGACTGTGCAATCATTGTAATAAGTACATTAAAATAAAATAAGTCAAAGGGTTGCATTAGCATAAATAACTCAAGGTGAGAGAGATGGATTGGTTAAGAACAAAGAGGACAAGGCTAGTTGATCATAATGGAGAAATCATAACCAATCTGTCCAACAGGTGGGGACCTTCGGGGTGAGATGGTTGAGGCCCTGTGTGAATTGGTAGGGTTGCCTCGTCTGGGTTTGCTACGCATTTTTCCTCCTGCTTTGGGTGGTGGGCACGTTCCAGAAGTTTACATACATTCATCCTCTCAGGGTCTCAGCTTCTTCCCCTAAGGAGGACTGAAACTGCCTTTCTCACTGAGTTTTCAAGAGGACTGGGGACATAGAGTGTGTGAAGGGCCAGCGTATGGGGCACGTGGGTGCTGGCCATCCGATAGTTATCCCGTGTGGATCTGCCTGGAAACTTCCAAGCCTGGTTTTGTACGGGGAAGGGGTGCTGGGTTTGGCTTTCTGGATCTCAGGTCTACGGGGAAAGGAGAGAAAAGCTGAGACCTGTCTGCCTCTTGGCGATCAGATGAAGAGTTGGGGGACAGTGGAGTGACATCTCATGTCCATCAGTGGATAAAGAAAATGTGACATGTACACGCAAAGTGTCGATATTATTCAGCCTCACAAAGGAAGGGAACCCTACACTATGCAGCCACATGCGTGCACCTTGAGGACATTACACTCACTGAAACGAACCAGTCACAGGACAAATACTACGTGATCCCACTTACGTCAGGTATCCGAAAAAGTCAGAGTGGTAGAACCAGAGAGCAGAGTTGTGGTTGCCAGGGGCTGGGGTGGGAGCAGGGGGTGGGAACAGAGAATTGCTCATCAGGCGGCATGAAGTCTCAGCCACGTGAATGGGCTCCAGGGATCTGCTCTCGGCAGTGTGCCCGCAGTCAGCCGTAATGTAGTGCACACTTAAACATGTGTGGAGAGGGTAGATCTCATGGTGAGTGTTCTTACCACAATAAAATAACATTTTTTTACCAAAAAGAGTTAGAGAGGGGGAAGATGAGGGAGAACTCCTCTGTCACTATAGGAAACGGTCTTGACTCCAAGGGACAGGCATTCTCAGGCCTCCGAATGTTGCCTGAATCTTGCTGACTGTGCCCCTCACTAACTTTTCTGGAAGCTGTCTGATACCTGTGAGTTCTTCACTCCAGAAAACAAGATATTTTCCTTCCCCCTTATACTAGAATCTTTTGCATTCCCGAGGCAGCTGAGTAGCTCCTGGAGCCAGGTGGAAGGGCCACAGGGCCACACCAACCTGATCAAACCCATTGTGGTGGCCTCTCTCGCGTAGATGGTGGGTATTAATCACAAGTCATTATTAGAATTGATGGTGGCTCTTGCTCCTGATACTACACGTCAGCCGGAGGAACCAGCCTTCCTTGATTGCCAGCTGGCTGGGCGGGTGGAGGGAGATGATTACATTGTTTCCTGGGTCTGGTCTTGCTTAGTAAGTTCTACCAGAAGGTGGTACAATGTGAGCTTTTGACATAGGTGCTTTGAAGAGGTTTTCTGCTGAAGGGCCACGCTTGGTGATCATCTGTAAACGAGGAAAAGAGAAGAGCCCAAGAATAACACTTAGGAGGGGTCCAAAGAGAGACAAGAGGGATGTCCGTCGGACAGTAGCTCTTCTCTACCTTCTTGTTAACTTCTGGAAAACAGGCTTAGAGATGGGATTTAAATTTATGTTCTGGAAGAGTGGAAGTCGTTAAACTGATGTTCTGTCTCTTGGAGGAAAAAAAGAAAAAAAATTGGCTCCTGTACCTGAAGAGAGGTAGGAGAAAGGAAGCAGATCAGGTGAGCCCCTGTATTAATCAGGATAAGCTAGATCATGCTGCAGTGACAAACATCCCCAAATCTCAGGGGCTCGAAGCTGCAGAGGGGAGGTTGGTGGAGTCCCTACTCCACACTGGTCTCACTCAGGGGCGTAGGACCCTCGCAGGGCTGCAGAGCATGGCCAGGATCCGGACCGGGGCAGGGGAACAGGGCACACTGCGCCCTGGCCTCAGTCACTGCTCTTGGCCACAGCACGTTGCTTGGCTGTACCTAATTAGCAGGGGATGGAGAAGTATAGTCCTATCATGTGCTCAGAAGGGAACTGAAATATTGGTGAAGAGCCTTAGTAAATACCACCCCTGCCTCTTTCAGTTGTATCCCAACCTAGGTGAATATGAGCAAAGAGGGTGATACGCCCTCCACCACCCACATGGAGAAGTGGGAGCTGAGTGCTTCTTGATTTGCCCCTCAGCAAAACAGAAGAGGCATCATACCACAGCAAGCTTTAGAATCAGACAGATGCAAGTTCGCTGCCTCCCCCAGATGACTTTGGGAAGATTACTTAACATCCTGTTTCCCTCACTTTTTCTATAAGATGGGAAAACAGCAATACCTGCCTTGGAACCTATTTCTGGAGGTTAAGTGGGATATTGCGTATAAGGGCTTAGCACAGTGCCTAGCATATGATGCGTATCCAAGAATGTTATAACAACAAGCCTCGTCTGCTCCTTCTGTGAAATGGCAAAGAGAGCAGCTCCTTAGCGGGCGATCGTCAGTATCCAGTAAGTAGCACCTGGGAGTCACTTACTGTGGTGCCTGGCTCGTGGCGAGTGCTCAGAAAATGTGTCTGAGAGGCTGCTTGGGACTCTTCAAGGGCCTCTGGATAGAAAGAAGGGAAAAGAAGAATTTCAGCAGAGTTTGTTTAGGTTGCAAGAATAGAAATATATTCTAGGCACTCCTCCGAGGGGGATTTACTGCAGATCTCTGCAGGAAGGTGAGAAAGACCAAAACCAGAGGACCCTCATTCATGGCTCAGGGTGTGATAGCAGCCCCCACGTATGACCAGCAGCCACACTGTGACCCAGTGTGGACTCAGCTCCTCCTTCTCCGTTCCGTTTCCCAGCTCCTGCCACCTCAAACTCCAAGTGCATCGTGGCCACTGCTTACTGTCCTCTTTCTGTGGCTCTCTGCCACACGACAGGCCACAGGCCAGCCTGGAGATGGCCATTTGGAGGTTGTATACCTACAGTAGGTCCGTTTAGCAGAGTGGGAGTGGGTGGGAAGGGGCCAGAGCTTGTGTCACAAAATCAGGCTGCAGTGCTTAAGTGGGTAGGGTGACAGGTCTAAAAAGTCCCCTAGAGCTTCTCGGAAGTGGATGGCGTCAGTGGCATTGCAGAGCATCCCAGAACATAGGGCCTGTGGTCTGTTTGGTTTGAATTTCAGCTTTGCCACCAACTAGCTAGGTTACCTTGGGCAAATCACTTGTGAACAGATGCTCAGTTCCTCATCTGTGAAATGAGAATAATATTAATAGCAATATCCAATTTACAGAGTGGCCATGAGGTATCCTAGTGTCAGCTGTCATTCTTACAGCCACCACCAAATAGAGGAAATTGGTGCTTAATGCTGGGGGCGATGGGGCAGAGGCTCAAAAGGCAGCTTCAAAATTCACACTTCTGCCGATAGAGCAGGGGTCTGCATGCTTTTTCTAAAAGGGCCAGATAGAAATATTTTAGGCTTTACAGGCCAGTCTCTATTACAACTACTCGCTCAGCTATTGCAGCACAAAAGCAGCCATAGACAGTTAACAAATAAACAGGAATGGCTGTGTTTCAATAAAACTTTATTTACAAAAACAAATAAAGGCTGGATTTGGCCCAAGGTCGGTGGTTTGCTAACCTGCTGGAGTGGGGACCTGGCTGAGTGTCAGCTGCTCTTAGGCACCAGCATGGCACCAGTGTTCAGTCCCCACCATCCTTTTCCTGGGGAACTGGTAAAAGGCGTATTTCAGCCCTACTTGAAAAGGAAAAGGGACAGGGATGCTGCTCATTGCCCGTGTGTTTCCCATAGCAACATGGGCAGATTTGCAGAGCCAGTTAGTGTTCTCTGTGGTTTCCAAGGTCGAGGGGCATGTTCTAGGACTGCAAATGTGCTTTCAGGTTAAGGCCTTGGGAATGGGCTTCAAGCAGAAGCAAAATGTTTCAGAAATGATTTGGGGACGTTAGTTGAATGATGCATTTGATCCGAACTCAAAGTGACTAGGACCTGCCTACCCATGGAGGAGCTGAGTCTGGAATGCTGCCTTTCTGGAAAAATCCATGCCATGCATTGTTTCGAGAATGACTCCTGACCCTTCCCTTTCTTTCTCTTGACCCCAGGTGACTTAATTAGTTCTGCTCCAGGTACAAACATCAAGAGCCAGAGCTCAAGCACAAGAGTGTCACAAGTTTGCATGTCACCTGGGACTCATTGTAACGTTCCTTCTGTTCATTCTGCAAAGTCTGCATTCCCTTCTTAAAAAAAAAAAAAAAAAAAAAAAAGCTAATGGTGTCTTTCCCACAGAATTTACAAACTGCTCAAACTGATTTCTCTTCTGGGCGTAGATATACGAGCATGTCCTAAAGGCAATGGAATGTATAGAATATCCTACCAATATTTTTTTCCCTTTATAACTTTATTATGCCATTTTCAGCCCTTAAATAAACCATCACAGCACTTTCTGCTGGAATTTAAACAGGAAGCCAAAACAAAATGTTTGCTACCCAATGGCAAAGACAGTCAAGGGTAGAAACTTACTTGAAAAGGTGTGGTTACTTAGAAGCCTTGAGTCTCATAGTCATGTCACTTCACAGCTTGAAAAAGCCTTAATCTCTAGTTGGAACATTTCCTATTTCCAGATGGGGAAACTGAGGACCAGAGACAAAGTCTGACCAGAGTTTCAGCCAGTAGCAAGGGTGGGATGTGGAACTGTGGCCTAGACTTCCAAACCTGCATGGCCCGCTCTCGAGGGCCAAGCTACTTGGCATGATCACTCAGTAACGTTCCTCCTCTATGTTTCTTTCCTATGTTCTCCAGCACGGCTACTTCTCTCACCGGCCGAAAGAGAAAGTGCGTACAGACAGCAACAATGAGAACTCGGTCCCCAAAGATTTTGAGAACGTGGACAACAGCAACTTTGCACCCAGGACTCAAAAGCAGAAGCACCAGCCTGAGTTGGCCAAGAAGCCCCCAAGTAGACAGAAGGAGCTTTTGAAAAGGAAGCTGGAACAGCAGGAGAAAGGGAAGGGCCCCAACGAGGCTCTGCCTCCCGGCGAGAGAGCTGCAGCCAACAGCAGCCGTGGGAAGGATGCCCCCAGGCAGCCCCATGCCAGGAAGAGTGGGGGCAGCTCCCCTGAGACCAAGTACGAGCAGCCGCCCAAGTGCGACATCTCCGGCAAGGAGGCCATCTCTGCCCTGTCCCGCGCGAAGTCCAAACACTGCCGCCAGGAGATCGGGGAGACCTACTGCCGCCACAAGCTTGGGCTGCTGATGCCTGAGAAGGTGACCCGGTTCTGCCCCCTGGACGGTAAGTTCTACCCCAGCCAGGAGAGGTGACTCCCAGCCACTTCCTCCTCCCAGCCAGCCTCATTCCGCTCACATTCTCAGACCTTCTGAGAATGGCTGCCCTATTTTTCAAACCCCAGATCAGGACACAAAATCTGATTTGTTCTAGTACTCTCTGAATTCCCAAGTCTTGTATGAGAAAAGTTTTACACAATCAGATTACTTTTTGTAGGCGCTTTAACCCATTGCCTTTAAGGCAAAGGATAGAATTAGAGTGACACTGTGGCGGGTGTGGAAGTCGCAAGAGGCAAGGTGGCTATATCGATAAGGTTTGGTTTCTCTCTCCGCAGGATACTGGGATTAGAATTGCTGTGAATAGTGTTGCAATTCAATATGGTTTGAAAAGTTTCTAATTGGTTGTATTGACTTTGGAGGCTCCGTGAAAATAACCTTTCCATTTTCCTCCATCTAACGTTCCTTCCTTCCCTCCCTCCCTCCTTCCTTTTTCCTTCCTTCTTTTCTTCCTCCCCAGTTATTCCTCATTTGCTTCCTATTTTCTTCCTTCCTATTTCCTTTCATCCTTATTTTTTCTTTCTTTCTGTCTCTTTCATTTCCTTTCTCCCTTACTTAGTCCCTTCATTGCTCATTCCCTTCCTATTTTCTTCCTTCTTTCCTTTTTTCTTCCTTCCTTCCTCATTTCCTTCCCTTCTCCCTCCCTTGTCCTGTGCACTGGGCACGCTTGTCTGTGTCAATGACCCAGTGATTAACCAGGTCATTTGCTGAGATGCAGGGAGGGGCCAGAGCTCTGATAGAGGAATTCACAGGCGGAGTGCAGGGGCCCTGTGAAGATGGGAGGACCAATTTTGCACAGGCGGGCACCATATTGTAGCTCTGCATCTAAAACCATGGCCCCTTTCTGCCCCATTTGTTAACACTAGTACACCTCCTGCCTCCATCTAGGTTGTTTTATGTGTCTTCCCCCGACCAAAGTGGCGGTGACTTTCACCGTCCAGGCATCACCGTGTGCCAGGCACTGCCCCAGGCTCTGTGCATCCACCACCCTGTGAGGCTGTCAGTTGTTTTCAGATGACAGAAGCAAAATCATTTCCCCAGGGTCACACGGTTTGCTCATGGCCACTCCTTCATTCTTATCGGGCCACAACTCAAGGTGTGCCCAGCTGTCGCTCACAAAGCGGCCGAGGGCTCACAATACCTCCTGATCGCTTCTAAATCAAAATACCAACAGCTGCTTTTGTTCCCTCCAAAGTGAGGAGAAAAGACACTCAAATTGTCACAGAGGCCAACTGTGAGACAAGCCGGAGCTCCCGAGGGCGTGAGTAGGGGAAAGACACGTAGAACAACCTAGATGGAGGCAGAAGGTGTATCCGGGTTAACAGGCGGGACAGGAGGGGCCCACTGAGGTGTTGGGTCCCCCTCAATGTCAAGGCAGAAGAAGGTCTGGAAATCGAGCCAACCACAGAGTTGGGTGGGGGGAGCTTTTGGCTCCCCCATGTTGCTGCTCAGGAGCCAGGCGATTCCCCCACGTCTCGAGGCAAAAGGGAGGTGCACAGTGAGAATGGCTCCAAGAAAAGGAGCCTAGCAGGGACCCCTTAGCGAAATCTTCATTCAGCTGGTTCACTGGACAGATGAGAATATGAGGCCCATGTAGGGGAAGAGACTCACACAAGGTCACCCAGCTCATCAGAGGCGTCCTCATTTCCCACTTGTGCTCTGTGTTCACCCTGTGTCCCAGAACGAGGACGTGAATCAGGCAGGGTGGCCACGGGCACCAAGCGCCCAAAGACAGGGCTGGAAGGGTGCGCAGCGAACCCTCCACGCGGCCCCCTCTGCAGGGGCAACTTTAACGTTTTACTCACGTTCGTCTCTGTTCTTTGAGTTTTTAGTAGCAAATGTGTCTCTACACAATACTCCCTTTCACACGGAAAGATTGAAAAAGAAAAACTTCATGACTCCCGTGCAGTTTTACCTTTGTCTAAGTGGTCCAGGTGGCTCCCGTCTATATTCTTGATTGGATTTGGCACGTAGAATGTAGCAATAATTAAATGGAGTGCAACATTTCCAAGATCTTTTGTTAACCAGTGCCTGGCAGAGAAGTTCTAGAGGCTGGAGTCGAACGCGCTTCCACGAAAATAATATTGGGCTCCTTCTGTATACCAGGGGGCATCACCCTTACTCTGTGAAGGGCCAAATAGACAATATTTGAGGATTCGTGGGCCGTACAGTCTCTGCCACAGCTACTCAACTCTGCTGTCATGGTGCAAAAACAGCCAGAGATAAGAGCTACACAAATGCATTGGGTTGTGTTCTGATAAAACTTAATTTACAAAAATAAGCCATGGGCCAGATTTGGTCCTTGGGCTGTAGTTTGCTTGTCCTTGCTAAATACCATTCTGTATACAGTTGACCCTTGAAAAATTTGGGGGCTGGGGTGCCAACCCTCACACAGTTGAAAATTTATTTTACTTTTTTTAATGGATGTAAGGGGTACAAGTTGAATTGTTACACGTATATATCGTATAGTGGTGAAATCAGGGCTTTGGATGTACCCATCCCCTGAATAGTGCACATTGTACCCCACAGGTAATTTTTCATCCCTCACCCCGCCCCGCCCTCTCCCCGCTTTTGAGTCTCCAACGTCCCTTATACCAGCCTGTGTCGAGTACTACTTTTAACTCCCCCAAGACTTAGCTACTAATAGCCTACTGTTAACCGGAAGCCTTACCGATAACAAACAGTTGATTCACACATGTTTTGTATGCTATGTTATATTGATATACTGTATTATATACCGTACTCTTACACTACAGTAAGCGAGAGGAAAGAAAATGTTATCAAGAAAATCATAAGGAAGAGAAAACATTTACAATTCCTTAAGTGGAAATGGATCATCATAAAGGTCTTCATCTTCTTCATCTTCCTGTTGAGGAGGCTGAGGAAGAGGGGGAAGAGGAGGGATTGGTCCTACTGTCCCAGGGGTGGCAGAGGCAGAAAAAAGTCCACGTGCAAGCGGAATCTCACCGTTCAAGCTCATGTTCGAGGGCGACCGCGCTACTATATCCAACCCTATTTGTGCCTCACCGCACTGAATCCTCACACTAGTGAGTCTGTCACGGACCCATTTTGTCAGTGAGGAAATTGAGGCTTAAAGAGGGTTCGTACTTGGCCAGAGACACGTGGCCAGTAGATGACAGAGCTGGAGTTGGAACTCGTGGTACAGAGCCCGCGTCCTTTCCCACAAGCCTGTCTCTCTTCAGGAGGCGAAAGGCTTCACTTTAGCTCAAGTCGTCAAGCCCCAGAGATGTTCTGCTGCCCGTAGGCTGTCCCTCTGTTGCCGGCAGAGTTGCGAGGGAGAAGGCAGGGTGTTAGTGGTGGTGCAAGAGGGCTGATGTTGCCAGTGCTTAGGAGCCTGGCTGTGAGCCAAACCCCTGGATTCAAATCCCAGATTTCTCCTGCACAAGCTGTGGGACTTTGGGCAAGTTACTTAACCTCTCTGTGCTGCAGTTTTTCCATCTGTAAAGGGGAGAGGAGCATGATCACACCTATCGTAGAGGATTCATGAGGGCCAATTACACAGTTACGAACTCGTGCCTGGTCAATAATCAGCATTGTGTGTATATTTATTATAGGACATGCTCCACACCTGTTCAGAACAATCGAAATGCCACACCCTTAGGCCAGGAGTTCCAGTCATCCCTGGCATGGCTTTGTGGCGTGAGTGCGCTGGGGGGTTGCCCTGAGGCCTGTGCTGCATTGGCCAGGGTGGCACACCCTCCTGGGACCTCTGAGCTGCTGAGTAAGATTGGCATTTAAGAGCCGTTGCACACCCAGCTCCAGCAACGCTTTAATTTGCTACACCCCAGCCTCCCCCTTTTGCAATAAATTTACTGTGAATAGACTAATTGCAAAATAACCCTAATTGGGTAGTTATCAATGAACAACTTCCCGTGGAACAAAACGGCTTACAATTAATAGCATTTAAGCCATAAACTATTCTTCTGCAGAAAGCTAAGATGTAATTACACCCCATACGGAGATCGTGTTCCCTTTCTGGAAACCATGACACCCGGATTTCCCTCTGCTTAGGAGGGATTTGAGCTTCAGCCCAGTGGTCCTTTTATTTCCTGCCGAATGAGGACATGGAGGCTGGGTGGAGGGAAATGTAATCTGTGAGTAAATGTTCACATACATATGTGCACACACACACAGAAGGACGCACCGCGTGTCTCATTTTGCTTAACATCATTCAAACTTCAGCCAATGGTATGCCGGAAGTTGAATGTAATTATGGAAACAATTCCTCATGGCTGAACAGCTGAAAAATTCAGAGGAAAGGAGATAGATTTTAAATGTTGACTTTGGTAAAGGACTCCTGCCCTCACCGCTTCACTCAGAGAAGAGGTAGAGTCCGCAGTCTGGACGGCGGTGGGAGCTTCACCCCATTCTCTGACACCTGTTTTCACAAGGGGAGGAGGGATCCCAGGCCGTCCACTCACAGCTGGGCAGAGGGACATGCAGTGAGGCCTGGGGAAGGGGCTGTACCCCAGAGCCCCTGGGCTCACTGCAGCCCCCAAGCTGTCGCCTACCTCACCCCATCCCTCCTCCCTGGCAGCCCCCTCCACCTGCTCCCTGCCCCACCACCCACAATTGCCCGGGCCTCCTGTCCCTTCCATGATTTCCAGAACCACCCTCAGGCCTCTGGTCACTCCAGCTGGGCCTCTCAGGGTTTCTGGAAATGGAACCAGATCAGATGGAAGGCCAGGGACAGTCCGGACGCTACGGTTTGATTCCTGGTTCTGCCTCGACTAGCGGCGTGACTCTGGCCTCTCAGCGCCTCAGTCTCCTCATCTGTCAGATGGACACAGACACTCCCATCTTCACAGGGCTGTTGACTGAACCGAGATAACGCATATACAGCGCTCAGGCCGTTGGGGAAGTGGACAAAAGCAGATGTGTTTGGTTGTTGGTAGCCGTGAGGGGACAAGAGTGGCATAAATAGGGGGG